TCTAGGTCTGCTCCGCAGTCGGAAAATCTGCAATTTTTTCGCGGGGCTCCGCCCCGACGCCGGAAGAACGATATTTCCTTTGCTTTCCGCCAAAACGAAGTCCAGCTTGACCCAGTACCAGCTATGCCGAGCCCTGAATGCGGTGCTTAGCCTGGCGGCTGCTCACCTCGTGACTTGACATATTTAATTAGTATCTATATGTAAAAAAGTAACACTAATAATAGTAAGGCTTCATGGAAAGTGAAAAGTACAACAGTAATTGCAAGGAATGATTTGCAGAGCAAAGTACAGATCAATTAAGCTTTAGGCTCGGCTGCAAGAATTCTCGCAACAAGTGGTTCTTTTTCGTCTTCGGGCAGGAAACATGAGCGTGCGGCGTTGAGTTGCTGAATTAGCAAAGTTAACAAGTTGCTATACACAAAAACGACACAAAACTTACGCATTGCCAGAGCTGATGAGGGGTCAGGCCAATTTCGTCTCTAGCGAGCTGCAGTTCACTCAGCATGGTGTTGTCGAAGCATGTGGGGTCATCTCGAGAGATGGAGAAGTTCACTTTGTCTTTGGCCCAACTGCAACATTTACGATTACCTAACGTTCACTCTTTGAAAAAGCAATTGCACCATCTTCCGTAAAACAGGAACTATTAGGTTGTCCCAAAAGTAAACTCCTTTTCGTAGTAAGTAATAGTAATAGTAGTCAAACTTCAAGCACGATCAGCCGATACTTTTATAGACCAATTACGTAACTCATAAGAAGTTGTACTCAATCAGCACAAGTTTTGGGCTTTCATTTTAGCATGTAACATTGAGTCTCACTTGTCTAAAGCCTATGCAAAGGAAGCTAGTCAAGAGAAATAGTAAGCATGTACTGCAGATAACTATTTTGACTAAACAGCATACTAAGTACTTTAGTCAAACCGAGAAACCATAAAACCTAATTTTTATCGAGCCCCGATTTGCCCTATAACGCGGTATCCTGATTTTGAAAATTTTGACCTCCAACATTGAGGTAATAATTTTTGATTCCTAAAATCTCTCTTGTCCACCGTTCGTTCTCCTACTATCCACCATACTATTTGCACGCTTTTAACACTGAAAGAACATTTCTGTGCTTACTTCAAGATGGGACAAGTATGTGACTGAATAGGCATCTTGTGCACATCGACAATAAAATGTATTAATATTGC